CCGACCCTGACCGCCTGGCCAAGATGGCGCTGGCGTCCCGAGCGCGCGCTCTGCTCCCGGGTGTGTGGACCCGGGGCAGCGGGTCGTGGTGGCAGTTAGCAGGGAGACGAGGGGTGAGGGCCACGGAGGAAACGAAGCCGCGGGCGGGAGCGGGGCAGGGGGATTCGAGGCCACCAGGGTGGACACCGGGAGACTGAGGTCAGCAGGCGGGTCTAGCAGGCCCCGGAGACCGAGGCAGTGGACGGCGTCTGGGCGGCCGCGGGCGGAGGCTGGGAGCCAGAGTCAGCGGGGCAGCGGGCGAATGGTCTGTGCTGGGGATAACGGGACGGTCCGGCCGCAGGGGCCCGGTCCTGGGGTGCCGTCCTGGCCAGAGTGACCGCGCAGCGCGCCATGAGCCACCGGGTGGTGGTGGAGACGGACGCGGCGGCAGGTAAGGGGCCGGGGCCGCGGGCTAGTTTGGGGCATGGCCGCGGGCTGACGTCCAGGTCGGAAGTCCCTTGGGGGCGGGCCCGGTGGCCGTGAAGTCCATTCTGGCGCTTACCTGCACTGTAGTTGGCTTCTCCGCAGCGCTTTCTGTTCTGCTAGGAAGGCTGGGGAGTCACCCTTCTTAGGCTTTCTACTTGAAAATAGCAAATAACTGGATTTATTGGGGAATAAAGTGTTTCCCAGCTTTCTGGCAGCCGCCTGGCACAGACCCTGGGGTGTCTGATCCTGATTCCATGGTGGGGCACACAGAGAGGGAAGCACCTTTGGCCACCCCCACCCCCATTCTGCCCCTGGGCCTCCTCAGAGCAGACCTTCAAACAGAGTTGGCTTAGAACTAGACTGGAAGAGTCATCACGCCCCCAGTGGGGAGAACCCCAGCCTTGAGGGCGCCTTGGGGTCTGCCCCAGGCCTCCCATCCCACCACCCCCACAGTCTGCTCCCCGACCCCACTTTGTCCCACCCTGCCCCAGCCGACTGTAGGGTCATGAAGGTGATGTTTGCCACGATGGCCACTCCTGAGGACTCCACGGCTATCGGAGCAAAGTGTCTCGGTCCCAAGCCATGTGGACACTGGTTTCCCATCGGGACCCATAGGGTTTTCACTGACAACTTTTCAGAAGTGGATCGCCAGGCCTGTCTTCCCAGTCTGCCGCCTTGGTCTGGAAGCGCCACTGAAACCTGCCTGCCAGGGGCGACCCTGTTGGAGCTTGACCCAAGGGGGGTTGGGGGGTGCAGGTGGCAGCAGAGCACCCAGCATCGCAGCAACAAACAATATGGGCTTAGCGCAACAGAGTCGAGTCTGGGATCCGAGAGCTTATCCTTTGCATGGAAACAAGCCGGTGGCTGTGAGGCCAGGCCAGTACCAGCTAGTGGTGAGGACCCTTTGTCCCCAAGTACAACGGTGACCCTGAGCAAAGCCCCAGCTTGTGAATTGAAAATACTAGCTAAGAACCAGTTCGGACCACCTGTGGAAAGTGCCGGGTTAGACTGAATTAGAGTCAGCTCAATACTCTTTCCAGAAGCATCGAGGCAGTGCCCACCCTGGGCTGAGGACTGCTCAACTCTGGTGTGTCCACATTCCTTTAACCTGATTCGAGTCAACCTTTGGCCTGGTAACCTTTCCCCCAATATTTACCAGGCTCTGTGCCCGGAAGTGCCTGTCCGACCTGCAATAATAAAGAGAAAAACCCACACCGCCCTCCAGTGGATTCTGACAATGACCTTGTAGGACCAAGTAGAACTGCCCTATAGCCAGGGGTCCTCAAACTTTTTTTTTTCCCCTTTGCATCTTTTTTTTTTGTTTTAAACATTTTATTAGGGGCTCATACAACTCTTATCACAATCCATACACACATCAATTGTGTAAAGCGCATTTGTACTTCATTCTCAAAACATTTTCTCTCCACTTAAACCCCCGACATTAGGTCCTCATTTTTCCCCTCCTTCATGAGCCCTTGATAGTTTATAAATTGTTATTCTGTCATATCTTGCCCTGTCAGGGTCCTCAAACTTTTTAAACGGGCCAGTCCACTGTTCCTCAGACCCGTTGGAGGGCCAAACTATAGTTTAAAAAAAACTATGAACAAATTCCTATGCACACTGCACTTATCTTATTTTGAAGTAAAAAACAAGGCAAAAACACCTGGCGGGCCAGATAAATGTCCTCGGCGGGCCACATGTGGCCGGCGGGCCATAGTTTGATGACCCCTGCATAGACTTTCCGAGACTGTAAACTTTTTATAGGAGCAGGCAGCATCTTTTTTTCCTCAGAGTGGCCAGTGGTTTCGAACTTCCAGCCTTGTGATTAATGGACAGATGCTTGACCTCCTTGCCCTACCAGGGACTTCAGGATGAAGTAGTTTGTACACCAACCTTTGTCTGTGTCTCTCTGAACCAAGTCAGGGGCGAGAGGGTGGTGTCTCATCGCTGGAAATTTTAAATTCTAGGTCCTTTCTTGCAGACAGCTGTGTATATTACATCCAACAGGGGGCATGATGAACTAGCCAATTAGCAAAGGCCTCCTCCCCAAAAAGTCAAGGGTTCTGGAAGAGTCCACTGGCTCACTCGACCCCAACCTTGGTCCTGCCATAGCCCATTGGCATTGACCTTACAAGGCTCTCCAAGGCCACCAGGGAAATGCTCCTTAGCCTCGTGATGGTCTTTCTAAAGCCCTTGGGACACATGGCCAGCACAGGTCACCCCAGCCAGAAGCTGCTGGCCTTGAACGCTAGCTGGGCCTTGGCTTCCCTGGCACCTGGCCCTCTGCCAGCCACATGGTGTGCCCTCTGCTGCTGCTGGCAGACAGGGCGCCCTGAGGTACTTCTCAAACATCTAGCGCCTCCCGCGTTTGTTTTTTCAGCAATTCTCATCATGTAATTGAATGATTGTAGTTTGGGTGAAATTTTTCGGCAAGTCCAGTTTCCCATTCAGCAGCTTAGGCAGGCACGGTTTGTCTTTCCAACCTTCTTCTGGGTCACTTCCTGCCTTCTGAGCTCCGAGGGTTGGTGGTTCTAAGGCATACCTACCTACCTACCTCCCTGGTGGCCTGCTAAGGTCAAAGTCGGCAGTTCCAAACCACCAGTTGCTCTGAGGGAGAAAGGTGAAGCCTTCTACTCCCGTCAAAAAGTACAATCTTGGAGCTGCACAGGGCCCTTCTTCGGGCCACTGTGAGTCAGAATGGGCTAGATGGGTTGGCTCAACGTCGAGCCTCCAGAAGGCGTCCTGGTCCGGCCCGCCCCCCCCTCCCCTTGCCTACCAAGGCTGTCTGAGGACGGAGTCTCAGGGTTCCATCAGCCTCTATCTGACCAGGAAGGCTAGGCTCAAATTGTTCGCCTTAAAATGCTGATTGTGATGTGTGACCGTCACTTCCCCCTTGGAAAAGCGAAGCCGCATCAGGGCCCGGGGAGGGGGAGGGGGTTGTCCCATGGCTGGGAGGGACCTCACCCGCCTCTACCACTAGGGGTGGCTGTGATGAAATTCAGGAACCCCCCGGTGAACAGCCTCAGCCTGGAGATGGTCACCGAGCTGGTCATCAACCTGGAGAAGCTGGAGAATGACAAGACCGTCCGAGGCCTCATCTTCACCTCGGTGCGCCCGCCCTCCCCCCACACCCGTCCCCTCCCTCCCCTCCCCCAGGGCAACGCAGGCCTGCCGCCTGCACGGGCTGGTCAGGGGGATCCCCAGGAGCTGTCCAGCCAGTGGGGCTGGCAGACTGTTCCCTGGAGCGCCCGAGGGGCTCCTAAGCCCCCCTCAAGTTCCGCACACACCAGTGGTCACAGTGCCACAGTGTGAGTGAGGGGCTGCGTCCAGGCCAGACATCTGGAATTTCCCATCCTAGTTCAGCCTCTGCCCCTCTGGGGGTCCCTGCCAGGACAGGGTCTTCCACAGGCCACACCTTCCTGCCTGCCCCTTCTCTGGGCAGTGCTCCCCACTGGCACAGCGCCTGCACCTGGCCCAGCCCCCTCCTCCCCCACCAGGAGAGTCCCGGCGTCTTCTCCAGTGGCCTGAATCTGCTGGATATGTACGGGCGGAACCCGGCCCACTACGCTGAGTACTGGAAAGCCGTGCAGGAGCTCTGGCTGCGGCTCTACCAGTGCCCCATGGTGACTGTGGCCACCATCAATGTAAGTGTCCAGGGAGCCCAGCATGGGGAGGTCGGAGGGTCCACCAGCTCTCTGCTGGGTAGCGGTAGGGTGGTCCACACTCTGGGGGCACCTCTACCGTTGTCCCCCAGGGTGGGGGGTGGGGTGGAAACTCAGGGTCTTGAGCGTGCCAGTGGCAAGAGCAACTCCAGAGGCTACAGCACATCTGGGGGAGGGGAAGGACTATAAGGAGTGAGAGAGACCAGGGGGGCATGTGAACGGAGACACAGGACTGCTGGCACCAGCCTCTGGCCGCAGCCTGGGAGAGCAGATACCAGATATGGGAACATGGGGCAAGCTTGGGGTCCCAGGGCCTCCAGGAGACTGGCTGCCACATGGGGCGGGACATGAAACGCTCCCACAGAAAGCTAAGGTTCTGCCCTCGGTCGCTAGTGGGGCTTGAACAAGGAGGGGGGAGGCTGTACCACACAGATAGTTACCCTCTCACAGTTTCAGAGGCTACAAGTCCTCTCTGTTGGCCCTTCATCATTTGTGGACTTGATGTTCCACAAGTGTCCTGACATCAGTCTTGCCCTGGGCCCCGGATCCAAATGACACACACTGCTCCCAGCTCTTTCTTGGTGATAATCAGGGCCCTCCCTCTCTGCTTGATTCTTCTTATAAGATCAAAGAGGATGCAGGGGGACGGGAGGGGTGGGGAGAGTTGATAGGATTGATGATTGTACCACCCCAGCCGATGGATTGAACAACAGGGCTATATGAGAAAGGAAGGTCTATATTGGAATGAGTAAGATATGATCAATTTTTTTAAAGGCGATGCAGGCACACCCCAGGGAAGTGCCCCTCACATTAGACAGAGCCCTGAAGGTGCTGTGTCCCCACCTTATGCCCATTACAACGGGTCCTGGGAGTGGGCACATCTCTAGATCATTGCCAGATGACCACATTACCTAGCCAACGACCCACAGTGGATCATGGTTGGTCCTGCCCCATTGGTGCTTGTCTGTAAGGCACACAATTCAGTCTGGGACAGGGTCCCAGCTTCAGAAGGAGTGTGTGGCCCTGCAGGGGTCACTGCCCCTGCAGCCAGCCAGTCAGGCGTGGCCACCCCTGAGCCTGGTGGTCTCGCCCTGCAGGGAGCCTGCCCTGCCGGAGGCTGCTTAATCTCCATGACCTGTGACTACCGCGTCATGGCTGACAACCCCAAGTACACCATCGGGCTGAATGAGACTCAGCTGGGCATTGTCGCTCCCTTCTGGTAAGGAGGTCCTGGGTACCGGGGCCACGAGCTTGTCCTGGGGCCACCAGCCCCTCTCTGTGGGGGAGGGCCCCCCCCCAGCAGTGTCTGCCTTCCAGGTTTAAGGACACATTGGTGAACACCATCGGGTACCGAGCCTCAGAGATATCCCTGCAGTTGGGGCTGCTCTACCCGCCTGCCGAGGCCCTGCGCGTGGGCATCGTGGACAAGGTGGTTCCTGAGGACCAGGTGCACAGCGCTGCCTTGGCAGTCATGGCCCAGTGGCTGGCCATCCCAGGTGAGCCTGGAATGGGAGAGTCCCCCCCACCCCCAACAACCCCTACATCTCTCAAGACCAAACTCTGCCATCACATCAGTTTCAAGCCTGTGGCAACACCACAGGACAAGGTAGTGAGAACTACCCCCAAGGGTTCCCAAGACTTTAGGGGAGGAGAAAGCCTCTTCTTTCTCCCCCAGAGCAGCTGGTGGTTCCAAACTGCCGTCCTTGCGGTCAGTAGCCCAACATGTAACCACTGCACCACCAGGGCATCCCAGGAAACATGGACACTGAAATGTGCATCCTATAGAGTTACCACACGTGACAAAAGAGTATGCTTCTGTCTCCCCTGCCCCTCGCGCCCCCTCCCCGCCCATTTAAAAAGAGAAAAGCCTTCGCAAGTCAATCAGAGAGGCAGGCATCAGGCCGGCTTACCTGCCCAAGGTACAGACAGACACGTAGCAACAGACACCAAGCAACTACTACTACTTATACCACCCCATGGAAGTGTGTGATGGGGGAATATTCTAGATGGTCTGTTTATTTAAATCCACCACTGTTGAGTAGATTCGATGCAGGTGACCCTCCAGGGCAGGGTGGAACTGCTGTGTAGAGTCTGCGGGGCTGTCCATCTTTCAGCGGCAGGCAGCTGCCTCTCTCTACCGGGGAGTAGCTGGTGGCCTGGGAGGGAGGCGGTCTACAGCTTATCCCTCTGTGCCACCAGGCCCTTTGCTAGACCAAGTGGCTCACACAATAGGCTGGCAGAGCCCTCTGTCTCGGAGAGGAAGAGCTGGTCTGGGTGGCCAGGACTTCCTGAGTTTTGGGTGCACCCCTGGAGGCCAGAAGGTCCCTAGTGATACAGGGTTTACACACAAGGTCAGCAGTTTGAAACCACCGGGAGAACGAGGAGGCTCTGCTCCTGTAGAGCGTCACCATCTCAGGAACCCAGAGGGGCAGTTCTCCCTCGCCCTGGGGGAGGGCTTTCATGGGCCCCCGCTCACCATCCACAGACCACGCCAGGCAGCTGACGAAGGCCATGCTACGGAAGCCAACGGTGGACAACCTGGTGAGGCAGCGGGACGCAGACATCCAGCAGTTCGTCAGCTTCATCTCGAGAGACTCCATTCAGAAAGGCCTGCAGATGTACCTGCAGATGCTGAAGCAGAAGAAGGCCTGAGGGGCCGCCTCCCCCTCAGGCAGCCCTCCTCCGGCCAGGGGCTCCATGCAGTCTGCTGGTCTCCTTCCCGGAAGGCTGTCCTGGGGCCCTACCCCCTGTCCCTACATGTGCCTTGTCTGCCTGGGAGGACAGTAAAACATGACACCTGGACAGGGCCTGATGCCCCAACCTGGGAATCATGAGGGGGCAGTGGGACCCAGAATATGCCCCTCCCCCCAAAGTAAAATTGTGAATAAATTTCTCAGGCACCCTTCCCCAGCCTTGGAGCTGCCTGCTTTCTGGGGTCGGAGATGGGGGTCCTGGTGACCCACTTGGGATCCCCCAAACCCAACGCTCTTGGTCAGCACATGTGTTGTGTATGTGCAGGGGCCCAGGGGAGTAAAGGAACAGTGGTGACAGGAGGTGGGAGGTGTCTGTCCAGAAGATGGCTCTTGGCCCCAGGGGCGGGGATAGAACAGTTACACAGGAAAGACTTTGTGCCTTGAAGCAACTGTTTTACCTCCCTTAACCCCTCACTGTCTGCCTCAAACTCAGTTCTGTGGTTGGCAAAGAGACAGAAAACCAGGACCCCTCCCCCCCCCACACACACACCCGCCCCCTTGTCTTCCACTCTCCATCCTGAAGTGCCAGTGACCCACACGGGCTCAGAGCCACCCACTGTGGGAACAGCACCATGGGCAGACATGGGAGACAGAGTGCAACCCTTGGGCTGGGCTGGGAGGGACGTCCGGCTCCTCTGAGCCCTGCAAACAACCCAAACGCACCGCTGTCGAGTCAATGCTGAGTCACGGCCACCCCACAGGACAGGAGAGCTGTCCCAGAGGGCTTCTGGGTAGTGATAGGTAGAGGCAGGCGCTTCATCATAACTTTCGCCCATGAGAGGTTGACGGGGCCAAACTACCAACTCTGCACAGGTGTCTGAAACATGCTCCTCCCTGGCCCCATCATCATCATCATCATCCAGGTGGGCCTCAGAGATGCTGAGGGCATGGCCCCTTAAAGTAGGAGCCCCACCTATTTCAGTGCATATCGTTAGTGTGCATCTTATTGTAGTCTGAAGCGTGCCATGGCATCATGGGAAGTTGAGAATGGCCAACAGAGACAAGAAACAAGCACGCCCCACAAACCTCCTATTTGTTTATATAATGCATATTTGCTACACAATATGTATGTATGTGCGTATCATCTGCCATAGGCAATAAAGCCGGGCGTCTGCTGCTCGAGACCTCTTTAAAGTGATGGAAAGCAATGAGGTTACTCTGAGGACAAGGTGCGCCTGACCCAAGCCGTGATGGTTTTGCAATTCCCTATGCATGTGAAAGTTGGGCACTAAAGGAGGAAGACTGAGGAATGCATGTGTCCGGATGATGGTGCTGGAGAAGAGGACTGGTGGTACGGTACAGTCGACTGCCCAAAGAACAAACATCTGTCTTGGAAGAAGTACCCAGAATGCTCCTGAGAAGGGAAGATGGGGAGACTTGGTCTCATGTGCTTTACACATGTTGTCAGGAGAAACCAGTCCCTGGAGAAGGATGTTTCCCATACATCATGTATGGGAAAGTAATGGGGCATCAAAAAAGGGGACAACCACGAGGTGGATGGATGAAGTGGCTGCGTCAATGGGCTCAAACATGAGGACAATTGTGAGGACGGCCCGGGACCGGGCGGTGTTGTTCTATTCTGTTGGACATTAGGTCGCGGTGACTCAGAACTGACTTGATGGCACTCAAGAACATCACACTGGGCCGGCAGTTTGCAAAAGGAATGGACCCAGGTCCTCCCCCAACGGGCTGCCTTCCTATGCCAGTGTGACCTGGGATGGCCATTCCCAACAAGCCATGAGCTGGGCTGACCAGGCATCCTTGTCCCCTAAGGAGACTGGGATCCCAGGCTGCCAGGCTTCAGCACAAGCCAGGAGGAGCTGAGTCTAAAGCAGTGGTTCTCAAACCTTCCTAATGCCTCGACCCTTTAATACAGTTCCTCATGTTGTGGTGACCCCCCCCCCAACCATAAAATTATTTTCAAAAAAATATTTTCATTGCTACTTCACCACTGTCATTTTGCTACTGTTGTGAATGGGAAGACCCCTGTGAATGGGTCATTATACCCCAAAGGGGTCAAGACCCACCAGTTGAGAACCGCTGGTCTAAAGAAAGGACACGGGTCAGCAGGGTCTGTTGGCTCCACAGGGAGCAGCGCATTTATTGAGCATGTACACTGGGCTTCTGCCAGCAGCCCTCAGAGGTAGACAACACATTTTACAAATGGGAAAGCTGAGGCTTGGAGCTCCCAGTTACATACATGTCCATGGTCACTTGTCCAGACCAAGGAAAGGTGTGGGTGCTGGCACCCCAGCCTGGCAAAACCTGGGTGCAGCCTCTCTGAGGGTTGCTACCCCAAGATGGGCCATGCCAAGGGGCGGAGTTCAGTCCTGCAGCTGGCTGGACTGCGGGTATCATTTGGACTTGAGGGTCACCTCCACAGGGAAGTGGTCACTGACAGCGAGAGCCTGCATGGAGAAGGGGATGAGTTTGATCAAGAAGGTTGCCTATGGACACCCCACTGGCCATCAGGTGTACGAGCAGAGCCCCATCATGGGGGAGATGCAGAGACCATTTTGGAATGTTCTGGCTATGGGGGCTGAGCCCGGAGAAGGGACAATTCCTGTAAACTCCGTAGGAGGCAGGCCAAGGGGAAATCCTCATCAGGGAATCAGGGTGGACACTAGAGCTTCTAGCCAGGCGCATCCTGGGTGTAGCATGCCACGGCCTGCCTGTGCTGGGGAGTCTCAGGACTGGGGCCAGCACTCTACCCAGCAACACCTGCCTCAGGCAGAGGTGCCCCTCCCAGCTCTTAGAAGAGCCCAAGAAGCTTCCCTCCCAGCACCTGTTAACCCAGGGGGCTGCCCCAGCACCTACCTTAAAACAGAGCTAAAAAATGAAAAACGGTGAGCCCAGGGAGCATCCCCACATCTGCCTTAACCTGGGAAGCCCCACCAAGCACCTGCCTGACCCCGGGGAGCCTCCCCCAGCTCCTGCCCACGCCTGGTCCAGGACTCCAAGACCTGCACCCCGCACCCCTAGCACCTGCCTGCTCCTGGTCCAGACCAAACTCCTCCTGGAAGTCGTGCACTACAGCAGACTGCGGCTTCAGGCTCCTGCGCAAGCGCGCACCGCAGGCCACGATGCGGTCATAAGCGCAGTCGGAGTTGCCCACCGTGGTGTCGGCGCTGTCCGGGATGAGCCACTTGAAGATGTGGCTGCTGCGCAGGCGAATGGCGGACCAGTCCTGCTCCCGCACGTAGCTGCAGTCGGCGTTGAAGTCCCCCAGAAATAGGATGTCCTGTGAAGCGTGGGGCTGGTCAGGGTGACCTGAGTCTCCAGTCCCCAGGCCCTCAGGGCGCGCCTGCCCGAGACCCAAAGCGGGCCAGGGCTTACATCGGTGCCCCATTTGTCGATCACGTCCAGGTACACGTCGTAGAGAGCGTCGATCTCCGCCACGGCGTGGTGCGGCGCCGCGTGCAGGGGCACCAGAACCAACTCCCCGGCGGCTGCGAGGGACGCGGAGTCAGAGACTGCAGGTGGGGAGGGGCGGACTCGGCGGGGAGGGGAGGAGCTTGCCCAGACCCCACCTCACCAGAGCCGGGCGCGGAGAACTTGACCACGAATGGTTCACGACTGAAGGCATCCTCCCGGTCCGGGTAGTGGTAAGTGTCCACGACAGACACTGCGTCCTTCCTGGTGGCAGAGGATGGTGAGCGCACTGGGGCGGCCCCGCGCGCGCGCGCTCCCTCCTCGCGGTCCCGCCCCCTCACCTGTACACAAACAGGTACATTTCCTTGTAATGGTCCCGGCCCAGGGGCTCGCTGCTCACGAAACTGTACTTGTGCTTGGACACGCTGCAGGGACACCGGCCAGGTTTGGAGTCAGGGCACCCAGCCAGGGCCTGGGTCCCAGCTGGGGGCGTGGCGACACGGGGCCCCGCCCGCCGTACCTGTTAATCTGCTCCATGAGCGCCTTCACGGCGCTCAAGTCTGGGTCTCGGACCTCCTGCACCAGCGTGATGTCATAGCCAGCTAGGATCTGGGGATGGCGGGCAGGGATGGGTCACACGCCGCGGGTTCAGCCAAATCCCTGCTCCTCCTGGCAGCCCAGCTGCGGCCCCTGCCCTAGTCCCCGCCCTCACCTGTGCGATGACGCTGCTGCAGGTCGAGTCCGATACTTTGCTGTCACCGAAGCTCTGAATGTTGAAGGCTCCGATGCGAAGTGCCGCGGCCCCAGCGGCCCCCAGCGGCCAGAGCGTGACCAGTATGGCCCAGGGCCCTCCCATGCCACAGAAGGGCGGCCTGAGAGGAGCATACAAGCTCGGTGACCGTGATAGTAGGCGGACCCACTGATCCACACTCCTGTCGGACACTGGGTACGCGAGGACAGAGCCTGGCCTGTCACCGGGATGCTGGCCGACAGAAGCGTGCCTTCTACCTGCACACCTGCTGGCCCAAGGTGGCCAGCCCCCAGCCTTCCTCCCACTGCAGGGAAACTGAGGTCTAAAGAGGGTCTCCTTCTCACCTAGCCCCGTTCCCCTGCGGTCCAGCAGTCACCTGAGACGTACTTGGGGCTGTGCCAAAGGCTCGGGGACTCGGCCCAGGGTGCAGGCTGATGGCTGGCCAGTGGCAGTGGTCAAACCACACCAGCTCAGGTCCAGCAGTAGCTCTGGCACCTGCTGGGGGAGGTTATTTGATGCCCTGGCTGGGGCGGGGCCAGGCTGCGCTGGGTTCCACCCCCAGTGTTGGGGCACCAGAGCTCTGCGAGCTCATTTAAAGAATCTCAAGAGGCCGAGGGGCGGGTTTGAGGGGCAGTCAAGAGATCTGAGACCACCCTGACAACTGGGATCATAATCCTCCCCATGCCCCGCCAGCCAGCCTGCAAAACAGGGTCTGGCCTCAGGAAATGGGCCAGCTACACCCAATGCTAGGGACCAGCCTTGTCCCCACCCCGCAGAAACTAGGTTGCCTTTTATTAGTCTCTGTGAGCTGCATACCCACAGGGAAACTCAGTCCCACCAGCCAGGAGGACCAAGCCCATTTCCTGGACCCTTCTCCCACAAGATTCTTCAGCTCAGATCCTTGCTCAGGCCTGCCCACCGGCCCAGGCCCAGGCGAGGCTGTGGGCTTCATCCCTCCCACACACCTCAGGAGGCCCAGGGACCCAAGAAAGGAGGGCAAGACCAGAGTCTGCTCACTAGCATACCAGCACACCCACACACAGCTGGCAGACCCGCCGGAGCCCTGGGTGGGGCCACAGCACATGAGGCTGTCCTGGGCAGGCCGGTGTGGCAAGTGGGGAACCCGCAGGGGCAGGGGCAGTGGCGCCAGCCCCAGGGCCACCGCCGTGGCAACATCACAAGCTGTAGGTTTTTCATGTTTTATTATTGTAAATCAACAAAAACCTCAGTATTTACACTCTACGCCAACCTCCCCGGCCTGCTGCCACCGCTGCTGGGCTGCGTCTACACGATGACTGTCTGGACCTCAATCTGGCCTTCCGGTGATGCGATGACCAGCTCGCCTGCATGCCCCAGGATCTCAATGTCCTCTGATGACACCATGGTCACTGTGGCCTGCTCGGTGCCAGTGGTGCCGGCACGGGCCGTGAGCACAGTGCCCTCGCTGATGGCCGAGGCCAGCGTCATGGCCACCTGCTCGGTCAGGCTCTCGGGAGTGGCGATGGTGATGGTGTCGGCGGCAGGCTCTGCACCCGTTCCAGTCTGCTGGTCCACAGTCATGTTCTGCACAATGATCTGGTGGCCAGCGCCGGCCTGGCGCACAATCTGTCGCACCACCTTCATGATGTGGCTGTCCACCTACCGGCCGTAGGAGGGGGGGGTAAGGTGGAGGGGTGTCAACGCGGCACAGCACCAGACACCCCCCCCAACGCCCTCCTGTCCCTCCCCACCCCCACCTCTGTCTGGGTGCCCTCGATGATCTCTGTGGCCTCGCTGGTCTCTGCGTCATCAGCAGTAGCCTGGCAGAGGGGCACAGGTCAGTGCAGCTGCCCCCACCAGCCCAACCCACCCCCACGGGGTCCACCGGCCCCACCTCAATGATGTACTCCTGGGTGTCCGCCACCATGGATGAGAACTCCACTAGGACAGTGTGTGGGTCCTCGGCCAGGACGGTGGCAGAAGCTGCAGGGCTCTCCTCCGGCACCAGCATCTCCTCCACCTCCAGCAGGCAGCCCCCTGCCGGTGGGGCAGCAGGGTCAGGGCCCAGCGGGTTAGAGTCAGCCCCTCCGTAGCCCCGCCCCTCCCTCTAGCCCCACCCCAGACCTTTGGTGCGCAGGTGCCTGTTCAGCGTGCCATGCTCGGCGAAGCCACGGCCACAGCGGTAGCACTTGAAGGGTTTCTCGCCCGTGTGGTGCCGCACGTGCCGCACCAGCGAGCCCTTCTCTCGGAAGCCCCGGCTGCAGTACTGGCACACGTGTGGCTTCTCCTCCAGGTGCGTCCGGAAGTGCACTTGTTGGGCGTTCTGCGGGGAGTGGCTGTCAGTGCTGCGCAGGCCTCACTCCCGCCGGGAACAGAGGGCCAGTGGCGGCTGGGGAAGGAGAGGGGCCTCGGTATGGGAAGATAGGGGGCCAGGCGCTGGGCCTGGAACTCACGGGCCCACCTTGGTCTTATACCGCTTGCCGCACTCGGGGCAGGGGTAGGGCCGCTCATCCGAGTGTACACGCCGGTGGCCGCGCACGTGGGCGATGGTCTTGTAGAGCTTCCCGCAGTCCCCACAGCGGTAGCGCCGCTCGTGTACGTGCACCTCCTGGTGCTTCCGGAGCAGGTAGGCCTTGGGGAAGGTCTTGCCGCACTGTGCGCATGCGAATGGCCGCGGTCCTGGGGGCAGGCAGCGCACGATGGCATCAGCTCAGCTTGTCAGAGGAAGCACCTGGCCTTCACCACCAGAGGACCCACCTTGTCTCCCACTGCCCGCCCGAGAACTCCCCACTCACCCTCCTGCCACCCACCTGCATGGCCCCTCTTGTGGGCCTCCAGCGTGGCAGCTGTGGGGAAGGTCTCGCTGCACTGAGGGCACGGGTGGGTCCTGGGCACACCTGCAGCTGCGCTAGCCACCTGCTGGGGAACAAGGCTGACCTCACACCACCGGGGAGTGAAGGGGGTGGGGTGGCATGGGCCTTCATTGTGGTAGGCATGTTAAGGACACAGACAGGGGCAAGGGTAGGGAGACACCTGGCCTGGCCCAGAGATACTCACTGTTTCTACCTGCTCCAAGGTCAACAAGGGCAGCTCTGGGGACCCTTCGCCCAGGGCCTGGGGGCCAGGCTCAGTGGGCACGGCCGGCTCCAGGGCAGCCCCCTCCTCCCCTGAGACCCGGTCCAGGACCAGGCCGGAGTTCTGCATGGCCTGGTGCAGCAAGTTCTCCCGGCCTCCCTCGCTGGCGGAACAGGCCAGCTCCTCAGGGCCTGGGGGCTGCTGCGGTGGGACAGATAAGGCTGCTGGTCAGCAGTTCAGGGCACGCCCCTACTCAAAGCCCACTCCAGGCCAAGGGGACCCCACAGCCAGGGCCCTGGGATTACTTCACCCTGCACCCCTCAGCTCCCCGCCACCTCTGAGTTCACGCCAGGCCAAATGGACCCCAGGATCAACCATTCCCACCTCTGGGCCCAGGGCCTTCATGCCCAGGGCCAGCTCCTGCATCTGCACGTGGACTTCGTGGATGACAGTGCCCTTGGCATCTGTCACCAAGTGGATCACAGGGGACGTCTCTATGGGCTCCTCTGTCCCCGAGGGTGATGTGACCATCCCCAGGCTGGCAGGCCCTGACCCTGAAAGGCACAGCTAGTAAGGCCTGGCAGCCAGAGGCCAGGGAGGGCACTTGGGGAGCGGAATCCTCACTGACCTGCAGGCCCCGCCTCCTTGCAGGCAGCTGTGTCCTTGCTGACTCCAAAACGGATCTTCTCCGTGCACGGGGTCAGGGACTTGAGGTGGCGGGTCAGTGCGCCTGACTCCCGGAAGCTTTTCCCACACTTGATGCACTTATAAGGGCGCTCATCTGTGGGGAAAATGGGCTCAGCCGGGTCAGGGGTGGCCCGTGGCGGGGGGCCAGGGGACCCAGCCTGCCCCTCACCTGTGTGGCGCCGGTGGTGGCGGATCAGAGAGCCCTTGGTCCGGAAAGAGGCCCCGCACAGCTTGCACTCATGGTCCTTGCGGCTGCTGTGTGTGACCATGTGGGCCTTGAGGATGCTGCCCTGTCGGGGGACGGG